CGGGCCGGTCTCTCCCCGCGCTCCGCGTCTCTTCACGGGCCGGTCTCTCCCCGCGCTCCGCGTCTCTTCACGGGCCGGTCTCTCCCCGCGCTCCGCGTCTCTTCACGGGCCGGTCTCTCCCCGCGCTCCGCGTTTTCTCACGGGCCGGTCTCTCCCCGCGCTCCGCGTCTCTTCACGGGCCGGTCTCTCCCCGCGCTCCGCGTCTCTTCACGGGCCGGTCTCTCCCCGCGCTCTCCGTCTTTTTGGTGAGTGCTTGTTCCCTTGAACACATGAGAAAAACAGGACCCTGCGAGGGACGCCTGCCCCTCCTCCCTCCTCATCTCTTCCCACTCCGCTTCTTCCTCTTATGTCTCTCTGTCCTCTTATGTCTCTTTCTCATGGAAGAAATAAAATTTAAAAGTTTAAATGAACAAAGAAGGTGCGCACAGGGTCAGGAGCGTGTGAGAAGATGCGGCCTCCCTGGTGTGAGGGCGGACGGCGACCAGGTCACATGGGTCCTGCCCCACGCGCGTCAGGATGGGGTGGGGACCAGGATGGTCCGTGCACAAGGCCAGTGGTGGCGCCCCGCTGAGCACAGGAGCACCGTTTGGCCCAGCTCTCCCCGTTGGGAACATGCCCCCAGGAGTGTTGGGACGATGACGCCGGCGGGACTGGGGCGCAGCAGGCAGAAAGCAAGGGCTTCCCTCCTGTGTGGGCACAGCGCGGTGAGCCTCCGCCTCCGCCCCCGCCTCGCCTCCGCCCCTGCCTCCGCCCCGGCCTGGCTGCTCGGCCCACCCCGCTCCTCTGCCCACGTCAGGCCTGTCTGGACGCGACCGGGTGGCCTGAGGGTAAAGAAGTCGGAGGAGCTCGCCACGGCCTGCGGCCAGCGCTCCACCCCACACTGCTGGAAAGTGGGGTTCCGAGGGAGAGGAGACCCGCGCACCCCAGGTCGCTGGCGGCACACCGGGCCGCGTCCTCAGAGATGGCGCCCGGGCCGCCGACTCCCCTCTCCACGGCGTTTCCTTGCTGTCCAAGCACATGCCGGCCTGCGGGCGAGTCGCCGCCCCGAGAGCGCAGGTGCCAGGTGCCGTGAGCCTGGGCCTCGCTGCCCCTGCCCTCCCTGCACCCTGACAGCACCCGGCAGGGCTGAGTGAGCGGCGCGTGGGAAAGCTGCCTTCTCCGAAGGCCGTGTGCGTGGGCAGAGTGGGGGGCGTGGCCGCGACACAGCCCCTTCTCCGTTTCCCACCCTTTTGGGCCTTTGGGCACTTGCATGTGTACCTGGCATGTTATTCAAGCCACGGGGACCAGATTCGGATGGAGGTCCGCCATGCGAGATCTGGCCCCTTTGGCCACCAGGCCCCGAGGCTGCCTGTGGGAGACCTTCTGAAACCCCAGGCGCCAGCAGTGGCTCGTTACCCTCCTGGCTTCCCTCCTCCTCCTCCACCTTCCCGTCCTTCCTTCAGGTGCTGAGGTTTCTTGGTTTATTTTTGGTTTTGTTTTGTTTTTCTAGAAAAAAAAATATTGGGCCAGCAGTTGGCATGGTGGTTAAGGGCTCTGGACTCCCTCAAGGCTGACCGCGGTTCGAGTCCTGGACCTGGCAACTTGCTTTCTCACTTTCCTCCTCTTTGCCTCACTCTGTCTCTCTGGTCACATTTAAATAAATACTTAAGTAAAGTTAAATGAAATAATTATTTAAAATAATGTTAAGGGGCCAACAGGTGGCATGATTGTTAAAGTGCTGGACTCCCACATGGCTGACCACGGTTCGAGTCCTGATCCTGGTGGCTTGCTTTCTCACTTTCCCTCTTTCTCTCTGTGTGTCTTTCTCTGGTCAAATTAAAATAAAGTGAATGAATGAATAAAAGTAAATAATTCTTTAAAAAAAAATGTTAACTTTGCTACGGGGCTGTGTGCCCACCAGAGAGGGACCGGTAGACAGGGTGAGAAAGCCCCGCCTGGCCCCTGCTCAGGCCCTCCGCTGTCTCCTGCTGAGGTTTTGAGCACGTACGCGGTCAGTACGTTTCTCAGACTGGTGGGTGCAGGGCTCCGGCTGTGCCGACGGCCACTTGGGGCCCAGCCACTTCAACTGCCACACCCCAGCTGTGCCCAGAAATGCTCCCTGTGTCTGCCACATGCATCTTTATTTTCCCAAGCCCCTCTGCTTCGTGGTTCCTCAGCTGTCTTACCGCGACACTGCCGCACCTCGGGCAGGGCAGCACTGCCTAGGCCCGGTGCAGGCTCCTTGCCGGTAGCCGGCTGGGGAAGCAGCACAGCCCTGCCAGCCCCGGGTGTTGGGAAGTGCAGGTCTGCTTCCGGGGGCACCCTGACCCTGGGGCTGCAGCCTCAGCAAGTGTCTGTGTCCGTGGCCGCTGTCCTTGGGCAGAGCTGCCCACTAGCTGCCCCTGTCCTTAGCCCGCCGCCTTCTCCCCTCGTGTCCGCACGCCTGCTGCCCTGTGGGGCTGCTCAGCTCCCTGGAGGGGCCGATGGGGAGCGTGCTCTTGTCCCTCTGCCAGCCTTGAGCTCTGGGCCCGCTGTTCCGTCGTAAGTTCTGGAACCACCCAGAGCCTCAGTTTCTCGTTGCTGAAACAAGTAGCCGCTTCCTCCCTGGAGAGTTTGTTCACCGGCCTGGAGAGGTGGCAGAGGCAGGACCTGTTCTGTGTTGTGTTGGGCACTCTCAGAGCACCCGGCCTGTTTCCCTGTAGGAAGTGCCCCTCTTGTAAACCCCCTTTTGTGCTCCCTGATGTCAGTGGATGCGGGAGCTCGGCATGGCACCTGCAGACTAACCCGGTACCCTTTCTCCTCCGCAGCGCCGCCAACTCCTGCCCATCCAGCCCCCGGGGAGCGGGGTCTTCGGGGTACAAAACGGGCCGCATGATACCATCTGACCTCAGTTTAATGGCTGACAGTGCGCAGCCAGAAAATGAAAAGGAAGCTTCCGGTGGAGACAGCCCGAAGGTAAATACTGCATGCTCGTCAGTGCCTGCAGGCCCTGTGGCCACTTGTCACGGCGTGCCTAGTGACGGCCCCACACAGTCCGGGAGAAGCTGTCTCTGCGAGCACAGTCGCAGGCGGGGCTGCACCAGTGCCTCTGGCCGCAGTCGGCTCCAGGCTCACCCTGGGTGCAGCTGGCTGAGCAGTGGAGGGCGGCGTGCCCGTCTCGGCCACAGGGCCCCACTCTGAGCGGCTCTGCGGTGCTGCGCAGCCCTGGGGCCGCACCGGGGCCCACACTGGCCACCGCACTTCCACTCTCTGATCCCGTCATTTCCCTTCCAGGGCTTTGTCTAAAGATGCGAAGTTTATGTAATATAGAATTGAGGGCCAGCTCATGGCATGGTGGTTAAGGCGGCTGGATCCCACATGGCTGACTATGCGGTTTGAGTCCCGGACGGTGGCTTAAGGCACACACCAGGTGCGTGTGCGTGTGTGTGTGCGTGTGTGTCCAAAATCCCGAGGAGGGGAATGGAAGAAAAGGCATTGTGACGTGGCCATTCTCCTCGGGTGGTGCTTGCTCTCTCTCCCTCTCTCGCTCTCTGGCAACTGCACGTGCCCTCTGGCAAAATAAAAAAATTAAAAGGCACCCTGGACGCCCCTAGGGAACTGTGGCTGGGATGTGCTGGTCCGACAGGCAGCGGGACAGTGGCCACGTGTCAGGACCCATGCGTGGGGTCTTGGTCCCACCCTGGCCTCACACCGGTGCGTGCCTGCAACCTGGCTGGCCGAGGTTGCAGTAGGTCGTGCCTTTCCAGACCTTGTTGGGATGCCTCTGTTCCGTCTCTGTCTTTGTCACGTAAGAGATAAGTAAGTAAAACTTCTAGGCCGAAGATGGGTGGTCCCAGGAAGGGGGCGTCGTATAGCCTGCTCACTGCTGTGTAGTGTCCCATGCGGTACGGGAAACGCCGAGGACAGCCGTGTGCGGGTCCCTTCAGACCACGTCATGAACGTGTGACTCACAGAACCCACACGTGAGCTGCATGGGGGAGGACGTGGCCCTTGGCGTGGCTCCCCTCTGTTGGGCTTGGGTCACGCCGGTGCAGACCACGTTGGCACAGTGCCACGGTGCTGAGACTCCGTGAGCGCCAGCGGCGGGACAGTGACGGGCCCTGGGAAGGATGACGTCGTCTCCGAAAGGCACAGGCTGGCTGTGCTCTGTCCCCGCCCGGTGTGGCTGTGCCACGTTCCCGCTGCAGGAGTGTGCTCGGTGACAGGGCGTGCCATCAGCATGATTGTCCGCATCACACGTTCTCTGTGAGAACGTTCTTCGACACACACAGGAAAAGGGTCTTGCTGTGTGCAGCCCCAGCCTGTGACGGAGGCGGGCCCTCAGCTGCGGCCCTCGCTCCGAGGTCCTCTGCTCTAAGCAGCCTTTCGGTACTTCCGCACTGCCACAGGGGACGCAGCCACGTGGTGAGTGCAGTTAGGGCCGTGTGAGGGTCAGGAAGCCCACCGAGCCCTCTTCAGGCCTTGTTGATATGCAGCTGTCTCCAAACACCTGAGAATCCAAAGAAAGGTCCTCAGATCCTGGTCCCGGCATTTCAGCAGTGGAGCAGAGCAAGCCTGGCCAGGAGCTTCGGGGTGTCAGCGGGGGTGGGGCTCTTCTGAGTCCCGGGCTAGAGGTGGCGGCGTTCCGTGTGAGAGCGAGGACACCCATGCCCAACGCCGCTTTTAGGACGAGAGCTGGCCGCGTGGCTGGACCAGCTGAGCCGCCTGCCCTCCTTGCACTGCTCCGCTCACCCTAGCAGGGCCTGTGGCCGCTCGCCCCCCGTGCTGCGCTTTGGTTCCCGTTCTAGTTCACTATAGGACGCGTGCGCTTCCAGGAGAGAGGCGGGACGGAGGGGAGCGGGGAGAGGCGGCCCTTCTCGCGGTCTTCTCGGGTTTGGGCACATGTGCACGTGTGTCTGGTGTGTTCCGCACTGCCAAGCCTGCGACTTAAACAGCCCAGCAGGCGCAGTGACCAGCTGGCCTCTCTGGCGGCTCACTTACTCGGACCTGGAATGTAGTCTTCCAAAGGACACATTCCGGTCTTCAGTATGTTTTGCCGTATATCTAGGTGGTCACCTGCCCCTCGGCAGGTATGTTGATGTGTGTGTGTCTGCGAGTTGTCACGTGACAAGCCACCGTGGCCCCACGCACCAAGGAGACCTGCTACCTGGTGGATGCTCACCAGCGCAGCGGTGGCCCTGGGGTGCCCTGTGCCCTGTGCCCCCTCCCGGTGGCAGCAAGGGGGGTCTGGGCAGGTGCAGTGACCCACTGCCCCATGCGATCGGGCCAGCTGTGGAGGAAGTGCTGCAGTTTGCTCTCCTCGGGCTCTGGCCTCTGTCCAGCCCGCGAAGGGCCCTGGCTGGTTCTTGGGCATCACCATGGCCAGGCCGCTTTCCTCACTTTTTTTGATTTTCATGTTTGGGCTCTTTATAACCCTGACTTTGACGTGCCGCGCTGTGCTTCTCCACAGTCTCCTCCCTGTCTCGCAGATATGTGCTTGCTTTTCCTTGCCAGAGGGTGCGTCTGCTCACCAGAGAGGAAGAGAGCCCCATGGTGGGGCCTGGCTGTGCCACAATCCTTTCTCCTGTTTCCCTGTGTTCCTGTCAGGACTTTGGGCACGCACATGCCACTGGGGTGTTTTTCCAGCCACCAGGGCCGGGGCTCGAACCACAGTTGTCCAGGTGGGAGCCCGCTCCCTTAACTGCTAAGCCACAGGGCTGATCCCAACTCGCTCTTTTTGTGTACAGGTTGAGCATCCCTGGTCTGAAATCCAAAATCCAAAAGGCTCAAAATCTGAAACCTTTTGAGTGGTTACATGGTGCCACAGGTGGGGGAGGGGCACGGTCCAGTGGAGTGGTTAGGGTGACGTGGCCCTCGCTTCAGATGCTGCTCCCGTCCCTAAGATGCCTTGTCGTTGATATGCAGCTGTCTCCAAAGACCTGAGAATCCAAAAACCATTCTGAGACCCTGCTCCGAGGCATTTCAGTTAAGGGAGTCTCACCCTGCAGTATTTGAGAAACACGGAGAAATCCTTGGTAGAGTCCCGCGTCTCAGTACGTGCAGGAACACATGCTGACCGCGTCACTTTCTTGTTTTAAACGTAGGATGACTCAAAGCCGCCTTATTCCTACGCACAGCTGATAGTCCAGGCCATCACCATGGCCCCTGACAAGCAGCTGACGCTCAACGGGATCTACACGCACATCACGAGGAACTACCCGTACTACCGGACCGCGGACAAGGGCTGGCAGGTGAGCCGTCCTGCCGCTTCGCCTCGCCCTGCGCAGGGCACCCCGGGGAGACGGAGAGAGCGAGTCTGGCCGTCGTGGGAAGTGGTGTTCTCTGGCGTGTGTGGGCAGGGGTCGTCCAGACCTGCCCGTGCCTGCAGCGCGGCTGGCAGGTGAGGGCCGTCCTCCTCAGATGTGTTAGCAGGGAACACGGTTTTCAGAAGGCATGTCCCGGGCGGCCTGAGCCAGACGGAGGATGTGGCCCTGCCCTGCCCTGACACGTGCACCACGGTGCCCCTCGGAGCTTGCGCGCCACCACTGTCTGCTTTCAGTCTTGCCAGAAGGCGCGTGCTCACCAGCGTGGGGAGACGAGAAAGCGCCCCGTGGGTGGGGCCGTGCGTCTGGGAAGGGACCTGGGCGTCGGGGGCTCGACTGCCCGGGCCAGCCCAACTCGTTCTCAGCCTGTCATGTCGCGTGTGCCGGGCAGGTCTCCTGCTCTCCGCGCTTGTCGTGTGGCCAGGGATGCCTGTGCAGTGGGACCCCGCTGACTGGATGGCCTGGGCGAGGGGTAGCCGACGTGCAGTGCGATGGGAACGGCGCGAATAGTTTCTGAACTCATGGCCGGCCGGGAATGGCTGCGGTCTTCCTGCAAGGCCTCAGCTTAACCAGGAAGGCCTCCTTCAGAGCCGTGTTTGCTGAACCCCGTGGCCCAGCAGCGTGGGCCTGGACAGCTCTTTCCTGTCCTGGGGAGTAGGCCCTTCCTTCTGGGCCTCGGGCAGGGGCGACCCTTCACCGGAAGCATCTCCTGGCTGGGCCCTCAGTGTAGCCCAGTCCTGGGTCGTGGCAGGTGCACAGGTGACCAGCCCGCCCCGCCCTCTGCCGCCCATGCCTTGCCCGCCCCTGTTTAGCGTGAGCAGCCGTGTTGGACAGGGAGGCTGGACTTGGAGACG